GAACTTTGAAGGCTTGGAAAATTTCTACTCCAGCATTCTACCATAAATGCATGGCCGGCCTTTGATTGAAGACATGTCAACACAAGTGAAGGAGAATCCAGAAAAAATATTATATATATATATATATATATAAAAATCATAGCAACAATCCATGCTCAAAGCTGTCACACACGGATGGAGGGGAAACAAAAATGCATGAATTCAGATAATGAAAATAATTCAAAAATTATTATATCAATATTTTATTGAATTTGCGTGTGTTTAAGATATAGAATTTATAAACTTATATCTGGGTTTCAAATGGAGTAATAAATGAAGTTTGGTCTTTAGTTCTCTATGATTGACGTACGACTGGCCTACGTCTCAGTGCTGTGGCCAAACTAAATTTTTAGGCCTTTCAGTGCGCTCCCCTATCAGTCGTCCTTGCATCACAATTTAGGAAAGTGGGGTTTTCAGTTCATAAATTCTTTTGGAAGTTTTTTATTTTGTACGAGTTGACATTTAGTGCAAGCAAAAAATTGATTTTCTTTTTCTTTCTTTTCTTAAATATTTAATAATATATATATACACGTAAAATTATTGGATTTTTGTTTGGAGGTCCATTAATATGAAAACGACCATAGTTTTTTTTTGGGGGGGGATTTACTTCATCAAGGCAGGAGTGTAACAATTAATGTTATTATTTCAAGCTCAAAATTCAATGATATATTGATACTTTTTCATAGACAAATCAAAGGTTATAAGGTGCCCAATTTGTAAACATTCAACCCCAAAATTAATTTGAAATTTGTAATTTACATTTATAATATTGAAAAGTAATTTAACATAAAAATCATTGATCTAAAGTACAAGTTAAAGGTAATTAATCATATGTTATTAAATTAATTATTTTTTTTTGTAAAAGAATTTAAAACTATCATATAAGCATTTAACTTAGTAATGATTAGGTGCAAGGATTGTGATTTATTCAAAGATCAATAAAGATTTGAACCCTTCCTTGATTCAAATTTGTCAAATTGTACTTGATTAAAGGAGCAAGCATTTAAAAGTAAAGGTTATCCATATTCAAGAAGTGCATAAGAAAACAAAAAACCACTAGCAAAATACACGTTGAACTGACTTATCTTGCTTATCTATACACAGAAAAAGAGTCAGCATGACCAGCACTTCTCGTGACATTAGATCAGCTATCGCTATCAATGATGATATAAGTGCATATATATATATATATATATAGCAGCCACCTGGAATTTCAATACTAAAAAGCTTTAATTTTGCTTCATAGAAACTTCGATGCCATTGCCCACACATGATCATTTCAATGTCTAATATATACAAACGTTTGAACTAATAAGTTGCTCTACAGTATATGGAGAGAGTCGGCTCTGGTTTCAACTTACCAACCCCCCCCCCCCCAAAAAAAACAGTACTTTTCTTTCTTTGTTTCACACTAAATTCTATTGTTACAACAATAAGCAAAACATGACAAATTAAAGTCACGGAGTCGGCAATGCAAGAGGTATAGGGTTGGGGAAACGATAAGCATAGCTGCTGTATGGTATTCAGAGAAGTCTATGAACTTGTTTTTTGCTGCAGGTTCTACATATCTCACACGTCGAAACGTCCCCACTTCAGTAAAATTAAGTTTAGATCACTAGGGACCATTTAGTTGTAGTCTTTGCTTAATTGCTTTGTATGTATTCTTCAGATTCTAATCCAGGCATAAACCTGACATGCTTAAACCTGACAAAAAGGTTTCATCCTTGAACCTGACATGCTTCTTAAAATTTTGATGAGCTAGGGTCAACAATGGACCTAACTTCCCTTGGGGAAATGGATTTACTAGGAGATCACATGAAACTAGGGTTTAGGGTCCATATAACACACAATATATTAGAATTGAGATTAGAGAAACCAAATGAAAGTGACCTAATACCAACTGCTTGGCTTTGGACTTGATAGAATAATTAATTAACAGACAATAGTTATTGTACTAAATTTGTCATTGCTCGTATCTCTAGGATTTTCCTTATCACGTGAATGTTTTGTCTATCAAATTACTTGAAGATATACAGTTGTGGCATAAAATGGGTCTTGGAAAAGTATTTTGAGTGTATGGGGTAAGTAAATAGATTGTCTATCCAATCGAATGCAAAAGAAGTGGGAAAAAGAAGGAAAAAACCAGTGATAATGAGTTTTCGAACGTTCAAGGTTGTAGAGATCAGGGGACTGAAACAAGGTAGGGAAACGATATGATTCCAAAATAAGTGCATAAGACAATAGAACGTTGGCTGATTTACTCTTTTTTCTGTTTAAAGTTCGTTCCTTTGTTTTCTGTCTTTTCGCATCGAGAATTCTTTGCACATGAAAATATGTTAATGGGGCTTCTTATCCTTTCCAAATAGATCCTGCTACATTTATACATAAATGTTAGTACGCAATAATAGCATTTCGAATTGTTGATTCATACTTAGAACCCATTTTTCTGTTTTTTCAATGATTTCAATGTAAAAGAAAATATTCAAATTAATTAAGCCTAATAATTTGGCCAATAAATCAATCTTAAATGTCAGGAGGAACTCACTGGTATATTTGTTAACACATAAAAAGTCATTGTCTCAACCACATAAAAAGAAATGTCATTACAACATAGATTTCATGTATTTTATGCAATATATATATATAAATAATATAAAGGATATTTTGCTCTCCCAAAGTACTGTTATTGCAATAGGTAAGCTCTTAGGTAGGAATGGATCGACCTAGTTAGCCTCTCCAAAAAGAAAAGGAAAGATCAGAGGTCTTGTAACCATAATGGATCTCAGTGCGGGTGGAGTAGGCTGAACTGACATGGGGTTTCAATATAGTAAATAAACCAATAATGCATGATTCCATAACAAATGGCCTCTTTAAGGGATAAAACAAATTAAAGCAGAGAATAGCCCTGAAAAAACTGTTAAAAACCAATCATAGACATAAAGGGAAACAAACCCGAAAACCATTTACGCTAAGTTTTGGTTTCTTTCCTTTTCTAGTCTATCCTGACAGATTGATCAAACCCTGGTAAATACTCCAGTAATATATGTTAGACCAGGGGTTAGGGTTCGTGGCAGGGGAAGTCTATGATACCAGTACATTCGTGATTGTGTATTTATAAATAAATTTATCTTTTTGATGGATATTTTAGTTAACAAGAAGGGCAAAAAAGAATCTTGCAGGATAGTAATGATGAAAGACACATTCTTTGCTAAAAAACCTGTCGTCCAAAACCCCAATGTGGGGGGTTTTCAGCCACAGCAAGGCATCTTTCAGAACCATGCTTCTAGTAATTGCAAAGCTCCAGTTTGGTACTATGTAAATCCAGACAGGCTTTATAGACTTTTTTTTCTGTTTTGTGCTTGTATATATTTTGTGTCAATCTCCATGTATAGAAAAGAAAGTGTCTAGACGTACTTCTTACAAGGTCCTTTTTTCTGTTTAATTTTATCATATTTTAAAGCAAATTAAGCTTATAAAACCTCCCAAAAAATAAAAAAGTTGAACTACTACACTATATCCTTTTGAATTTGGCAGTGTGAAATTGAGAGAAGAAGATGCCCCCTTTCCTCCATGAATTCCTCTCCTCATATATATAGGTTTATTGTCCCCCACTTTCACATGCTTAATCTGAACCCTTTACCATATTCCAGTTTTCACTATGTCTGTGCCAATAGGTTGACTTTAACACTTGATATTTAAGATAAATAAAAAAAAAAGAGGAAAAAATATAAAAATAATTGTTGTTATTATTTTTGTTCACTCTTGCGATGCGTTGACAAAGGGGCAGCAGGCTTGTCTCTTATATAGTCTAATTGGCTGACTAACATTTCCAGCACATGCTGAAAAGAGTAATCACCCGCTCAACAGCCAGTTAATGGAGCAACTTTTCTTTTTCTTTGTAGCAAAGGACACCTTAAATCTTTCTCCATACACTCCTTATAGCTGCTTCTTGCACACCAAATGGAGGTCTCAACTCAACCCACGTTCAGGAATTTAGTACTAGAATCAGAACGAATATTCTTAATTATACCGCCCCAGTGAATTAGTTGATGCTGTTAAAATCCATAAAGCTTGTGTTTCCATGTAAAGAATAGACATCTTATCAAGTTTATGGTCAGAAAGTTTAAGTTTAACTGTGTTGAGAGTTGAAATTCTGGGAACCACGGAGTAAACTAGACCAAAAAGATTTGATGTAGAATACGTACATAGTCATAGCAATACATTACGTCAAGACATAATAATTATTCTTGTTTTTTCTTTATTATTCCTCACCAAATCCCACCTAGAAAAATTATTCGGACGACTGCTTGAAAATGTTTGATGTGGCCACTGTTCCTGTACAACGTTCTTCGCCCTTTCTCTGTCTCCGTCCTTCCTTTTTCTCGCTTCTTTGTACTTTGGGATCAAGGCAAGCAAATTTCGAAGAAAAGAATCTTCCTGATGCTGTTTTCTTCATATATTTTTTGGGTTTTGATCCAAAAACAAAATTGTGAATTAGCAAACTAGAAAAGAGTCCCCCAAATAGCTACACTTGTTTTAAGATTATTTTCTTTTACACGTTTTCCTTGAAGCTCCATGAAAAAGGGAGTTCGTTTTACTTTTGTTTCTTGTCATAGCTATGTCTAAATCTATTTTCCCATTAAAGCTTTACTACTTATTACCATTAGTTTTTATTTGGGTTTTTTCTTTTCTTTTTTTTTAATTTTATTGTTTTAAAGAATTATTGCCACTTCAAAGTAAGAAAAAATGAAAAGGGCAAACAGTGGTGTCTTTGTTGCCTCTGGTTGTAGGACCAAGTGTTTTTCTGTATCTCGGGTTAGGGGAGGATACTGAGAACCCAGACCTTTGTTACAACCCTTTTCATTTCATTTCCTCTCTTTTTAAAAGCTCTAAAACAAGGAAAGCAATAAAATAAACTGTGCTTGTGTGTGCGTGTATTTGCGTGCCTTTATTGGGTACTTACTTACTTCCCCCACACCATTGAAAAGAGCGAGTCTTTATTATTGAATTTTCTTTCTCATTGTTCATTAAACTTAGTTCGCATTTCTTGATAATGGAATAAGATACTACATTTATATATAAAATTTTTATTTTTCTCCCTTTCTTCTGTTGTTTTCCTCCCTTTTCTTAACCATCAAAGTGAGTGTTTTCCTTTTTTTTTTTTTTATTCTGGACACAAACGGGAAATTAGTTTCAACTTAGCCTAAAGCTTTGTATATCTGTTAATGATCATTGTCAGTTGCTTTCTGCACCCATTATCCTCGGGTTTTCAAGCTTCATAGCTACCCAAAACACCATCTTTTAGGTCTTAGCTATTGAAGTTTTTAGCTTTTTTTTTAAGAACAAAAATAAGCGGGTTTTGAGCTCTGGGTTGTTTCTGGTCAAGGAAACTTGGGGTAGTAATGAGACAAACCCATCTGGGTTTGCTGTTCTGGGGAAAAACTACCATGAACTTGAGCTCCAACACATGTTTTTATTGAAATGCTTTGGTTGGAATATTCCATAGGATTTTATTGGAGCTGGTGTTGGTGAATTAAGAGTCAGCAATCAGAGTAAGAATCAATTTGCATCTGATCTGATTGGGCTGGGGTAGGTTATACGTATAGATATCTTGCAAATGGCTACTGAGGTTCAAAATCAAGAGAGACTGCCAGAGAACCTGAAGAAACAGCTTGCTCTTGCTGTGAGAAATATTCAGTGGAGTTATGCAATTTTCTGGTCCATTTCGGCTAGACAGCCAGGGTACAAAATGTTCCATTTTTACCCCTTTTCTGGCCCCCTTTCTTTTTTTTTTCCTCTTTCTAGAAGAAAATTAACATGCACTTTCTTTTTTTTTTTTTGAGGAGCAATTTCAGCTCTGCTTTTTGAAAACACTGGGTTTGCTTCTGGGACTTTTCTGCTTAACATTTTTGTTTCTTTCTAATTTTTCTCTAAATTTCAAGTATGCTACATCATTTTATTTTGCCATAGTGTTTAAAGTGCAGAGTCAAACTCTTTAAGGAGCTAAATTTCCTTGAATAGATTGAGATTACTCTTTTTCTGACATTCTTTTATGCTTTTCCTTATGACAAATGCTAATATTTCAAAAACATTTGGAGTTGAACCTCCTTCTAACTATTCTAATTTTTACTATCAATCTAGTATTTTGCTGAAGGATTCTGCCTATTCTTGTTTGCTATCAATGTGAACACTTCAGGGTGTTGGAATGGGGTGATGGTTATTACAATGGAGATATAAAGACAAGGAAAACAGTTCAAGCTGTAGAACTGAACGCCAACCAACTGGGTTTGCAGAGAAGTGAGCAACTGAGAGAACTTTATGAGTCCCTCTCGGCTGGTGACAGCAGTCCTCAGGCTAGAAGACCTTCGGCAGCATTATCTCCAGAAGATCTTACAGATACTGAGTGGTATTACTTGGTTTGTATGTCATTTGTATTCAACATTGGCCAAGGGTAATCTTTCTTCCATGCTTTTGTTCTCAGCCGTTCAAACCGAAAACATCAATTTTTCTGATTGTTAATTCTTCCTCTAAATTGTTGTTAGATTGCCAGGAAGAACATTGGCCAGTGGTCAACCTATTTGGATTTGCAATGCTCATTATGCAGAGAGCAAAGTGTTTAGTCGATCACTGCTAGCAAAGGTCGGTGCCTGTGCTTTTATGCTAGCTAAATTTTAAGATTAGTTAATACGTTCAGAAATAACAGTTTGGTTTCTTTTTCCATGGCTGGAAACTTTGGTAACTGGCTCTCTAGAGTGCATCTATTCAGGTATTGATCCGGTTTCTCCATTGCCTTAATTTATCTTTATTTCAATATGAAAAAAAAAAGGTTACCATGTAAACGGAGACTTTAAGGTTGTGTTAATGAGTCAGATAAATTTTGTTTGAACTGGTTTGATAATTGTATTACACCTTGGCAACACTGCATGTCTGAGGGTATTCAGTGATTCCTTCTCACGCCAACTTAACCCTAACTGCTCATGGAAATAAATTACAAGTGACATTGCCTTATGGTGAATGTGGAATTATAATACTTCATATGTAGACATGGAAACTTGAAAGGGCTAGAATGATTAGATTCCTTGTATATGTTTCTGAATGATATCCTTACACTTGACTTGATTTCAGACTGTAGTATGCTTTCCATTTTCAGGAGGTGTGATTGAGCTTGGTGTAACTGATTTGGTAACTTTTCTGCCATACTTTTATTTGTTTATTATCATTGAAAAATTTGCTTCCATTGCTGTTTTATTTCGGTTCAAGTCATTCTGTTATGTTGAAAATTATTTCTGTAGGTATTGGAGGACCTCAGCCTCATTCAGCGCATTAAAGCTTTGTTCTTGGATACTCCACACCCAATTGGTTCTTATAAATCCAACCCTGTTGCTGGAAGTACAGGAAATGACAAAGATCGTGCTTGTCCAGCACTTGATCCTCAGATCCCTGACACCAAATTAAGTCCACTTTTAGGCTGTGAACAACTAGAAATAGCTTCTCCCGATGACAGTTCGGATGGCTTTGAGCCTAACCAACCAGCAGAAGATTCATTTGTGGTTGAAGGGATAAATGGTGGAGCTTCTCAAGTACAAAGTTGGCAATTCATGGAGGAGGAGTTCAGCAATTGTGTCCACCATTCCTTGAATTCCAGTGACTGCATATCTCAAACCTTTGTGGATCATCGAAACTTTGTTCCTCTTTGTAAGGGGGAAAATGATAATGACAATGGTTTGCAAGATGTTCAAGAGTGCAATCAGACTAAACTGACCTCTTTAGATATTCGAAGTGATGATCTGCACTACCAAACGGTTCTCTCAGCCCTATTAAAGTCCTCCCACCAGTTGATTTTGGGGCCACACTTTCGAAACTCTAACCAGGAATCCAGCTTTATGAGGTGGAAGAAAAATGGCTTGGTGCAGTCTCAGAAAGCAGGAGATGAAACTGCTCAAAAGTTTTTGAAGAAGATATTGTTTGAAGTTCCTCAGATGCATGATAAAGGGTTACTTGAATCTCCTGAAGATAATGGCATTAGAGATGCAGCTTGGAGACCAGAAGCTGATGAAATTTGTGGAAACCATGTGTTGTCAGAGAGAAGGCGGAGGGAAAAACTCAATGAACGATTTATGATTCTCAAATCGCTGGTCCCTTCAGTTAGCAAGGTAGTTAAATTTCCATTCTCCGTAGTTATTCCTAATATGACAATTACGAAATTAACTGGCATTGTTTGTGCAGGCTGATAAAGTTTCCATACTAGATGATACGATAGAATACCTACAAGACCTTGAGAGAAGAGTTGAAGAGTTGGAATCTTGCAGAGAGTTAACAGATTTAGAGGCAAGAACGAAAAGAAAACCTCAGGATCATGTAGAGCGAACATCTGATAACTATGGCAATAGCAAAATGACCTATGGAAAGAAGCCATCCTTAAATAAAAGGAAAGCTTGTGATATTGATGAAGCAGAGCTAGAGATTGACTATGTTGCATCAAAAGATGGTTCAACTGATAATATAACTGTCAGTATGAGCAACAAGGATTTTCTAATTGAGTTTAGGTGCCCTTGGAGGGAAGGGATTTTGCTTGAGATAATGGATGCACTAAGCATTCTCAATTTGGATTGCCACTCAGTTCAGTCATCTACCACTGAGGGGATTCTCTCCCTGACTATAGAATCCAAGGTAAGACTCTTTAGTTTGTGCTTCATAAGAAAACGTTTAGGAAACCAAATCCGTTAATGATTGACATTCGCAAGTATTCTGAACAATTGACCCTAAATAAAGTGTCTGTGCTTATTGCAGTACAAAGGATCAACTGCTGCATCAGCAGGGACAATCAAGCAAGCATTGCAAAGAGTTGCTCGGAAGTGTTGAAGCATGTCTTCTCACCGGACAAACCATAGAGTTATTTGGTCTAGATTTCCCTGCTTCGTTTGTAAAATCCCGTCATGGAAGGTTCTGTAGATGACAGATGCCACAAAGAAAAAGGTTTTTCCTCCCTGTAGGCTAGTAAAATAAAGGGGAATAAAACCTTTGTAATTTTCTTCAAAATCTGGCGCTTACATGACAGACCTTGACCTATGGCTTGTAATAACATCAAGAAAAGAAAATGAATATTTGAGTTACAAGAGTTGCCTTATAATTTCTAATGGATTAAGGTTAGTAAATTTAAAGAGTAAGGTTGGAACTTTTTTTTCCAAATTAAAAAAAAAAAAGAGCAACCATCGCACAACGCTCACCTCCCACCTCCATGTACCTAACAAAATCAAGTTTTCCTTATTACTGTAACAGGAAAGGAACATTAAGCATTATCATCTGTCCAGCATGAGGCACACGCCAGTAACAATGGTTTCAGGGTAGTCATTTTAAGGTGTATATCTAATTGGAGACAGAAGTACTATATTATAAGGTGGTGTTACTACTTATAATGGTGTTCATGGAATTTTAAGAGGGTGAAGATGTTAAGTCCAATTTCAAATTGCCAATTTGCATGTGCTAAAGCCTGTCATAGTAATGTAATGTAGTTTGGTAGGCAAAGGCAACTCGGTTTAATCAAATAGTGACTTCTCTTTGGCGAAGAAAGTAAAGTATTCTAGCTTTAAGCAAAGCAAGAAGGGGGCTTTGTTTGGGTAGTCAAAAGGTCTAAAAAGAGTTGAGTTTTAAATGGAAATATCATCAGAAAAGGCTGACAAAGTTTTCAAAGACTTGACAAATTTTAGGGTCAGGTTAAATGATAGCAAGGGGAACCCTAAATACAATATGAATCTTGACACAGGAACCAGGGTCACCGACAGAGCTGCAGTTCTGGTTTCAGCAAGCAGGCTAGCAAATATTGTTTAATACTAGAACCATGAGTAGTTTTTAACTCTTAAAATGTCCCAATCATGCCTTTGGCTGTAATTTTGATTAAGTATAAAACAAAGTTTGTTAAACGACAAAAGGAAAAAGGATTGTTTGTTTACTGTGTATTCACTTCAGTTCCCTCGAATATTAGGATGCTTTGATTTGAATATACAGGATTGGAGAATTGGCCCACCAAATCAGGGCAGTGATAAAGGTGAACAATTTTCGGTGGCAAAGGGGCATCTTCATTGAAAGAAGCAATAGCCATGGCAAAGGAGATAAAGGGCAGCTCAAAAAGTCAAGGCTTGAAAAAGAAGAGGGTAAAAGAGATGGAGGCATGCACGACTTGGTGGCCCTTTGTTTTCCCCAATAAACTGAAAAAAAAAAAAAGTTTAAAAATGGGTTTGTTCCATTTGAAACCCAAAACTATGATTGAAGAGAGCATATAATAGACTTTGCTTATTGCAGTGAAGTGGGGGCCCTGGCATGAAGGCTTTTTTGCAATGTTAATCATGATGATTGCCATTATTCCCCTTCAAATTTCCACTAAATGATCTTTCAATCTTTAGTTATGTCTAATCAGTTAGCTTAATGGTATATCAAAAATCTTAATCACAATATAAAAAGTTAGGCAAACTTGGTGTCTTGACTTGAAGTAAGATACAAAGATTCAGTTGGATCTTCTGAGAGTTTCATTTTCCCAATAAAGCAATTGCACAGACAGTTAAGCTGGCAGCCTAATGGAAATCCCCAGCTATATCGACCAGGGATCGTTGAATTGGGGCCCAAGAAGTCTTTTCATACCATCTTATTGACAATTCTACAACTCTCAAAGGGATAAAGCTTTAGTTTGTAGAGAGAACTGAACTAGGTATCAATTGGGGAATTTTTTTATTAGTGGTACATTTATCTATAAAGCTACATTGTCAAAGAGAAATGGGGAAAAAGCAGGAAAACAAAAGAAGCCATCGAATCCACTAACAAGCAAATACAATTAAGAAAAAGTAGAAATTCTAAAGATTTGTTCCTTCCTCCCCACCTTTTTTACCCAACGACATAATAAATAGAAAACAATACATTAGGATACTACTGCTAGTCAACAACACATGATTCACAATTGGATTATGTAAATTATTGACCCCACAATTCTAATGATGGATTTCCATTTACATTGAGAAAACAAACAACAAGCAATATTTAAGAATTCATGACTAATCACTGCACTTCGACTTTTAACCCAGCAAAATCTTTTACAGTGTATCCTATTTTGTCAAAATTACCAACCTCATTACTTTCTCTAAACTTTAGGTAATCCAAGCAAACAAACGGATGGTAAACCCTTGAGTTTCCAACTCCCACAACTTCATCCGGTGCCAAGATTACCTTCTCATCCTCAAAGCACCAGAAGAATGCTAGAGAGAACCGGTTCATGAACTGCTTCAAAACAACCCGGTGCTCTGATGATCTTAACCTCCCATTGCTCCAAGCCTGCATAAGATCTCCTATGTTAACTACTAAGGAATTCTCATATGGGCGTACGTCCATCCACTTCCCTTCCTTGGATCTCATTTGGAGCCCACCAAGCTCATCCTGATACACAATTGTTATGCAACTCATATCAGTGTGCATTCCAAGTCCTTCAACTTCCCTTTCTTCCACATCATCTGGTGGTGTGTAGTTTACTATCCTCAGATATCCATGACAGTCACCAAATTCAGACTCATAGAAATTCTCTTCATAACCATCTCCTAAACTCCTTAATATGACCTCAGTGATTCTCTTTGACAAGTTCATCATATTGTTTCCATACTGTTGTAATATCTCACTATAGATGGAAGAGGACAGATAAAACAAAACAAAACAAAAGAATAATGCACATGAATAAACTGAAAAGAATTGTGGTAACAAGAGACTAATCATTGAATAAATTATTACCTAAATTCAGATTTCTCTTGGCCAAAGAGTTCATTAGCAGAAGCCTTAGCAGAGGCAAAGAAATCCGGACCACTAACTCTTAAACTCTCAAAGTAGGGAGAAGCTATGAAATAGGGTGTGTATGTTTTGATACATGATGATGGACCGAGATTGAGCTTCGTATCTGGAGGAAGGCTAAATATTTCATTTGAAAGTGCACGAACTTTGTTAAATAGATTTTGGGGGATGCCATGGTTGGTAACATAAAAGAAGCCCCATTCCTGACAGGCTTGTGAGAGGGAAGATAGAAACGAGGGTTCAGGAGGTTGGGTTAGATCTAATACTGGGAGCTTTATAGAATCTTGCAGTTCAGACATTATTATATATGGAAACAAAACAAGATCCTTGAATTGGATTGCAGTCTAAGAGTGGTAGGTTGGTTACATATAGGATCTAGGGTGGAAGAATCTGAATATAGATTAGCATACTAGCACATACCAGAAATGATTAAGCTAGTTAAAGATTAGGCATTATTTACCACCACTAACTATTATAATAAAATGCATCATAGGAAAAATGGCAACAAGGTGACCACGATACTTAGAGTGATTGGTGGAGAGTGAGTTTTGTAGCTATCTTTTGCAGACAAATTTCATTTAAAAGCTAAAACACAATCACCTAATGGTGGAGACCACGGATCAAAAGCACCACATAACCCTCCTAGCTGATACTAACCACTAGTAATAGTATTACGCACCTAATAGTTACATCCACTGAATCCAAGAGACGAAAATGATTTCAGCAGACAAAGAGACATCGTGGCATGGTCAGCAAAGAATTTTAGTATAATGCAGTTTCAATTACCAATATTTTTATTTTTTAAGTACAAACATAAAGAAACAACAAAAATGAAGTACCAGAACAAGCTAAGAATATGCATGTGTGCATGGACAAACCAGACATTTGCATATGTTCTCATATGCAAATTAAGCATAAGGCCAAGAAGCTCCATAAATTAAAGTCAGAGACATAAGCTCTTCATTTGCATATGATACAGTCTTTAGACAAAAATATACAATCTGACACATGTGGCCACACACACTCAGAGACATAAGCTCTTCACATTTGGCTAAAACTATAAAGCATTCACCACCAGAGAAAAATAAAATAGGACTGCCAAAAGTAGTATAATGTTTAATAATCATAGAAGTTTTAGAAGAAATGTTTACAGTATAGTGTTGACAAAAATTTCATTGTGAGAAATAGGTGATATAGATATGGGCACAGACCCTAAGCATCCAGTACTCATATTAAGAAATCCTGCTAAACTCATTTTCTTTCTTGCCATCTGGAGCTGAAAGCAATGACACAATGAATATCACCTTCACTCTACACAACTATGGAATTGTTACTGACATCCAACATGGCATCATTCCCATTCAATTGTTGATGGGGGCTTCGATGTGATGTCTTGCACCACACGATTCACACCACGAACACTGTTGCAAATTTTTCGAGCCACATCATCAAGGAACTTGTGCTCAAAATAGTACCTGGAATTCCAAAATTGCATGAGGAAAAATGAGAATTTCAGGATTTTGGAGTTAAAGAGGGGGAAAAGGAAGTCAAAGATTAATTCATAGGCTTTTTACTAAACAAACATTGTCAATAAGACAAAGAAAAATGCAATTTTCCTAGATATTGAGAAACTTGTAACATGCAACACATATTCTGCCAACATGTAATGCCTACGAGGATGGAGGGACATCCATTTTTATTAACTTAGGAAGTTGCCCATTTTATCAAGCCTCTGACTAAAATCTACATTGAATTTGCCAGATTTTAACATCATTACTTTAGAATGCTAACAATCTCCTTTGAACGATTTCCGACTTAAACTGCTTCTGGTACTTCCAGTCAGACAAACCATATCATGTAGCCCTACCAACCGATTTCAGCAAATCACTAACCCTTCTTGCAAATAGCCAAACCATGTGCGTTAAATTATTTTCAACTCAGCCCAACCTCAGAGACACATTGCAGCTTATGCTTGTTACTATATACTCTTCGTTAACCTGAGCAATGAGAACTAACCAATCTGCTGTCATTCCATCTTGACTTGTAACAGCTCGAAGAGCAACAACATGAGAATGTGTTCTTTGATCACCCTGAACTCCAACTGATTTTACAGGCAAAAATACAGCAAAGGCTTGCCAAATTGAGTCATAAATGCCAGCATCCTTGATTGACTGAATGAAAATTTCATCAACCTGGGAAAAACAAGTCCATGAAGAAAAACATGATAAAAGGTAACACATTATAGACAAGGTTGCAATTCCTTATGTAAACACCTCATACCTGACGGAGAATATCTAAGGCATTGCCTTCAGTTACGTCACCCAAGATTCGTACTGCAAGGCCAGGCCCAGGAAATGGGTGGCGCTTTAAAAATGGCTCAGGAACACTCAATATCCTCCCAAGTTGGCGAACCTTAATAAATTAGAAAAAATAAAAAGGAAACTAATTCAAAAGAGGAAGAAGCTTTCAATAGAAGTAAACATTCAGCAAGGGCATAGAATCAAAACCTCATCCTTGAATAGAAGTTTAAGGGGCTCAATGAGCTTTAATTTCATGTCTTTGGGAAGACCTCCAACGTTATGATGACTTTTGATAGTGTGAGAGTGGGTTCTTCCAGTTCCTGGTGGCGGACAAGATTCAATCACATCCGGATACAAGGTTCCTTGAACCAAGAAAGCAGGTTTCTTTCCTAACTTATGCTCCAATTCTTGAGCAAAAGTATCAAAGATGCAGATAAATTCTTTTCCAATTATCTTTCTTTTCATCTCAGGGTCTACAACCCCTTTTAGCTTACTAAGAAATTGATTAGTTGCATCAACGCAAGTAACAGGTAGATGTAGTTCCCTTTCAAAGGTTTCCATCACCCGTTCTCTCTCCTTATACCTACAGCAAATAAGCACAATCAATAAATGTACAAGCAATAATTTATAGAAGCTTATAACAAAAATGTACATTTGGGAATTCAATAATTAGTGCCGAAAAAAAAGGAAAATTGTTTGCTTTCTCACCTTAATAAACCATTGTCAACAAAAACACAGTGAAGTCTATCTCCAATGGCCTTGTGAACGAGGTTGCAGCAACTGTGGAATCAACACCTCCAGATAAAGCACAAATAACATGATCATCAGGCCCTACCGTGTCGTTGATCACCTTAATTTCTTCATCCATTACATCTTCCATTTTCCAACCAGCTTCACTCCACAAACATCAAACAAGAAATTTCTTAGAGTCTCCATCCCTTCTGGCGAATGTGTAACCTAAATAAACACAATCAAAACATTATTCAACCGTTTCAAAACCACAACAATCTGCCTGCCTCTGCCACCCACACCCCCCCCCCCCCCAAAAAAAAAAAAAACTCTTAAAACCCTCAGAAAGAAAAATTAGGTCAGATTTGTTTGTTGCTGTTACTACTCAAAATGCAAAAATTGCATTTGCATACAAAAAACAAATACTAATATTCTTGTAAAATTAAGAAATGAACTTTTGGAAGAACAAGATGCATAATTTTACATTTTTATACTATAGAAACAATTATGTTGGGATTGGATTTGCATTTTAGTCATTTGTTTATTTTTAAGTCAATAAGCAAAAAATAAATAGCAAATATCACAATCAAAACAAACCTTAATAAACACAAAATAAACCCAAAAACTCAACGAATAGAAAAAACCCATAAACTCAAAATTACCTCAGGTGATACTGCAACCCATAAAACCTCTTCTCCTGATCCTCAACCGCAGCCACTGCCCCCTGCTGACTCCTAGCCACCACTTGAAACCCATTAGGCAACCTGCCAGCCTCATCCCCATGACTCATCCAAACAACCTGCCTATCCCCAACTCTCTTCCCACCAAAAAGACCAAACTTTTCTCAACCTCAATCTCCATCCTCCCATACTCCTGCCTTTCCCCAACCCTAACTTCACCACCAAGTCTCTGAACAAGCAACTGAAGCCCATAACAAATTCCCAGCACAAAAACCCCATTGGACAGGGCCCACTTAACGAACCCATCAGCGAATGAAGGAGAATCATCGGAATGGACCGAGTGGGGTCCGCCGGAAAGGATAACGACTTTTGGGTTGAGGGACGTGATAGAGGACAAAGGGGAAGTGCCGGAGATGCAGAGGGAGAAGATTGAGAGGAGCGGATACGGCGAGTGATGAGATGGGTGTATTGGGAACCGAAGTCTGGATCAGGACAAGTCCGATTTCACGGCTTTTGGGTCCATTGGGAGTTTTAGGGTTTAAGGGAAAGGGTGGTGCTGTGGCTGTGGATGTGGCCTTTGATGGTTTTTGTTTGGATAGGAGGTAGTGGTGGTGGGCGAGGGGTTTAAGGACGAAGGCGGAGGGGCATTAGGGTTCTGGGAAAGTGAGGTAGAGGGATTGGCGGGAAGTGGGGCTACAAATAAATTACAGTAAGGTAGTGTTAACTGAAACTCTTTTCCTTATTGGGTTGAATAAATTATGAGATTCAGTGCGCTTTCAAAACGGGTAGCTTTTTGGATTTTCCGGGAAATCTGGCTTCTTTATGTATGTTGCGCCTTGGAGCTCGGCCCAACTCTTTCAACTCGGGTCGGGTAATGATAGTAATCCGGAAGGGATTCAATCTCTATTATTATTATTATTATTTGGAAGATAATATCTATTACTATTATTAATTAAAATTTTTGTAATTCTATTAACACTACATCCAGCCTCATCAAATTACTATCTCTAATGACATTAGAAATCCAAAATACATTATAATGTAAACCATAATTAATTCTAATTATCCAAACAATTAAACTATAAAAAGTTAATTATGATGTGAAGTTATGTTGATATTCATTGTAATAACACAAACGTATCAAAACATTTAAGCAAAGGGGACGTTTGCCCTTCTGTTAACACAGTTTGTTACTAAATATTCAACCAGGGGTCATCTTTTTGATCAATTATGGAGGTTCAGTGAAATCTCCTTAGGGATGCAATTGAATTATTAACTTATCTCGAAGTTTGTCATTGTGTTGGCGCACATGCGCTTGAATCTCCATTGCTGCCTCTCAGATTACATGCAACAGTAAGAGTTTTGGTATACATTCACTCTGCCAGATTTCTGTATCGTTCTTTCGTTGGAACAGTTTGTGGACCTGGAAATTGCACCAGTAAGAACTTCCCTCACTTTCTCATTTCCTCAAAGCCTTCAAGGTTGAACAAACCATTCATCAGAAATCAGATCATCACTAGAATAAACAACATTGGTTAAGCAATTATTTGCGTAAACCTTCTCTCTTTGTATGAATGCATGATGTCTTATTACTTCATCGTTTACATACAAGTTAACAGTGGCCGGGGCCCCCATAGAAAAGATCCATTGGATAGGGAGGACCATCTTCATGAGTAGTCTGTGCATCGTAGCACTGAGGTCTATCAGAATGCACCTTTAGAGAGTCGCCATCGGGATAAACAAATTTTCCATTGTCCCATATTTGCATCTGCTTGAAGTAGGCAGATTTCCCATCATGGCCATATTCTGGTAAATGGCCACTCCCCATTGCAGGACTAGGCTCATTTGCTGGGCTGTAAACCTGTCCTCCCCATGTAATAAAATTGGCACCACCATACATATAAGAGAACAGTTTTTTTGGCCAGTACCCAACAATTTTGCTGTAGAACTGGAGCCACCATTCTCCATCCTAGCATGAAAATAGAATTTGTTTGAAGGAAAAGCATTTGTTGCTAACAATTAAAATTATTAATTGCTAAAACCAAATTTACAAAGATGAAATTTCCCAGATAAAGAACGGATGAAAAGAACTCACCTTAATTATTCTGATTTCTATGTCTTCTTGTGTACCATTATAAGTAGAAATTTGCTTCAGAACAAGACCAAGGCTTATTTCAGTGCTAACTTGGACAAATCCTGGACAAAGATAATCATAGCATCCTGTCTTTTTGTAACCATCTACCTGTTTCCATAAAACAAAATTAGCACAAACGGGTAATAGAGAGTTAAAAGAGAAATGAAAGTTGGAAAACTCACAGTCCAGTAGGAGAATAGCCGAGTGTAGTTGCTGGAATAAAGACGTGGTTGGACCTGGAAGCAAAAGCCAGAAACCAGGGCAAAAACATCAGAAAATCAATTCCCATAGGAACGCCATTAATGACTAATCTTTTGGGTCCTTAATTTTTGACTATGAAATTTGATTTGAAGGCTACAAGAAAAGGAGTTCAAAACAGTTACTTACTCCCCACCCAAACTGTATAACATTGAGTGTGTCTACAGGGCCATTGGCAATCCACATACTAGCCAAGCTAAGTTGATTAGGTGAAACACTAGGGTTCCACACGTTCATGGTTGTTTTTGCTCCAAAGTTGTGCTTGGTATATTCAGCAGTAGCAGACTGTACTCACCAAAAAGGTGGAGAGAATACCATAGAAATAACTTTAAAAACAACTTACTTGGGAGACATGTTGATGATCAAGGGAAAAATATATATATGTAACGAATTTTTATGATAGATTTTGCTTACAACATAGCTATTCGGAGCAGCATCGTTGCTGTGAAAACGGGAAGTTGTTGGATAATTCAATCCTAAAGCTTTTACTTTCTTGGCCATGATTAGATCCTCCTTTGTAGTCCTTTTAATGAGCACTGATCCTGGTGGGCATCTTGTGTTCCTGGGCAGAAAGCGTGGAGGTTTAGTTTTCATCGAAGATTTGCCTCCCATCATCTGATCCTTTGGAATTCTTGTTGGTCTCATCTGTATTATAATCACAATTAAAGCTTATCAAAAGAGTGATTATAGTGGTTATATATTAATTGTTCCATTGTCACATGAAACTTGAAAGGGAAAATAGGGGGGAAAGATTGTTGACCTGAACTTTGTGATCCTTGAGCAAAGGATGATCAAAAGCATGTTGTTTGTAGATATCAATGCAATCCAAGATATCCCCATATTCAGTCTGTTATCAAATAAAAAACAGTAAGAATATTTTTCAGACACCATAGATATCAAGAGATGCTAAAATACCCCCTTAATCAGTGCTTTTGCATTTTAAGCTCACCAGGAAACTCTTAATAGGAGGTTTGTTGATAACTTTGAGCTGTCTTTCCATCTCCAGGTTTTCTTCTTCTGATAATGTTCTCCATTCATGGACTGCATCTGCTCCTAATAAGAGAGCAATCATTATCTGCACAAGCAATAGTAACATGAAGTTCCTAGAGTATCCGGCAGGCATTATCATGTACTCAGCTTCCATGGTCTGTCAGGAAACAATTGAAACAGATGCAAGTCCTCTCTTGCTTGTCTTGCAAAGTCCAGCCATGCGTTTAAATACATGAAAGGTTATGACTTTTGGAACACTTCCATAACTGGGTATAGTTCTGTCTTAAGAATTATGACAAGTAAATGCCAATTAGCTATTGCTTACTAATTGCTGGTAAGTTTACCTCATATAGGAAAATTGATATTAAGTTTCACTTTTTTTGTTTTAATGTAGAGAATTAAGACATTCCATAACATGTAAATTATTGCTTCCCGCAAATGAATGACTAGTCTGGACAAATTATTAAGGGTTAATCATCTCAGAGCATAACATGAAAGAAGCCAACCATTCAAACCACCATTAAGCATATATCCATTAAATATGGTACCCCAACTCATGCACCAAAAAAGTTCAACATACCATACTTAACAAAAAAAAAAAATGCCTAAAATAATCTTAGTAATCATTTTCTGTTGGACATTAAATTCTTCTAGCTTTGCCAGCCATAAGGAGAATACCTGACATATCTAGCTATTTTTTGAAATAAACTACAAAGAAATCCAAGATGACTGCAGGTCAAATGGTGCAGTTTATGTTGGACATGAACACACTCTAAAGCTTTCCGTTAATGTATATATTTATAATGGGAATTGAATTGAAACACATGAATAGCACATCATTTCTGCCTTCTGCTAACTGCCATTTCTGGTTCTTCTTGAGTCCCAAATCCCAGTGAATCGATAACAGTAAGATGTTAAATTCAAATATATATATAAAAAAAAAAGAAAAAACAAGAAAACCACTGTTTAGATTGATAAATGAGCTTCTTGGCCTGTTCTCTTGATTACATTTGTCACTACTGTTCATATTGTTTCCAAAGGAAAAGTGACTTGCTGCCGCTTTGGCATCAAAAAGCGGAATGAGTTTTTGAAGTCCCATCACTTCATTGAAACTTACAAGCAACAATGTCCATGGCCCGCATAGCAGACGGTAACTATCCAGGGATGCAAGTCGCCAGTAAAAGCAATGCATCCTAACATTGCTGTTTATTACCATAGCATAGCAGTTAAAATTGGGGGTAACGAACATTCAAGGCTAATATAGTAGTGTTTGTGTTTCTTGGCCTGCTCTGTTCTTTTTCTCCATTTATGGAATTGATTTGTATTGATCAAGACAAAACAGAGAGCCGGTTTTCACCCAAAAAAAGATATTAAAGAAAGACAAAAAATAAGAGAGGTTATGTCATGAAAAACGAATATATACCTGAAATTTGTAAACTAGTGGAATGAATAATTTACTTGGGAATTTCAAGCTATAAGCCAATATTGCTGTATGTGTATACTGGCTCATCCAGTCTTGCTGGAAATCTTTTTGGAACTGAAAATTTAAACTAGTATCAATTAAAAGCTGTAACTGATAGTATTAAGTAAACTATGTATATAGGGAGTCCAGACCATCGACTGAATCCATGCACCAGACCAGACCGATAACCTCTTGCAAACCAGCAAAAAAACTCCCTTCTAGAGCCAGCACGCTGTTCTGCACACAAAATTAGGAGTTACGAGTGAACGTGAGGTTAGAATATACATCCAAAGAGGCTGGTCACGTCTCGATAAATATGGGACACTAGCTGTGTTGCCCTGCATAAGCTGCCTCCATTTCGTGGATGCCATTTGGGAAGAAGCACATGAAGCAACGTGTACTGCTTTAAGTTTACAGCCAATCTCCAATGTCCGCTACCAAATCCTCTAGGATGTGGTCCATTAACTCGGTAACAACTTCCTCAGTATCAATTCCAGTATCCATCCACACTCTAGATTCGGCCAAATCCTTTTCAACAAGTTGCTGTAATGTTTGTTGGGGTAGTTCTGAAAGGAGTAGCCAATCTACATGTCTTAACACCTCATGAACCACATTTTTTGATAACAGAACCGGTCGAGGTCTTGGGTTGACAAGTGATACCCAAGGAGAGCATCTGAAATGGCATTGATATATGTCCAAAAGGACTTCACTGATGTAGCCAAAAATCAGCCTACGATCAGCACAGGACTTGTCTGGCCATACTTCGACATTATCGGACAAGGATGAGTCAAGCATTTGGTCTGACAAATGACATTTCCCAGAGAGTTCACCCCAATTGAGACCTGAATTTTGCAGAACTGCTTTTATGTATTCAGACAAAGATCCTTGCTTGTCCGTGGAAGTACCTGCATTACTCTTCAGATCCAAATGAGATTCCACAAGTGAAGATGCATATAGTTCTTCAATACAAAATGGTCCAACTGGTGGCTCAGCTGCACAAGGTTCAGATGTTAACTCAGCATTTAATAAAAAAGAAAAAGCGTTCTCTATGTTGTAAGTAGTCTCTAGTATAAGAATTCACCTGCTAGAGATATGGTGCTAGGAGAGCTAGTGTTATCTTCTACAAAGAACTGCTCAAGAACCGATATAGGACTTGGCTGCTCTGTTCTATCAGTCATGCTATCAAAATCTTCTGCTCTTTGAATATGTAAAGGACTTGAAGAATACACATCTACTGATGAAGATGATGTTTGATCCCCTAAAGGGGAATCCTAAAAATAACCAAAGTGACAGGATTGAACATAATTTTAGCACGTAAGACAACAAAAATTAGACAGAAGGAGAACAAGAAAAAGTAACAGATAACACACAGCTCATCAATGACAAAAATATAAGAGGTGAATAGTTCATGCACTGGAGAAACTTAAAACGAGAAAATGAAAGGAGTACAAAAAAAATTTAAAGGAAAAAGGGAAAAACAGTTACCAGTTTTAAGCATTCAAGTAATTCACTGTCTCCGAATATGTTGACTGCTTCAGCTCTTGGGTTGGTGTTGGTATTCTGCACACCATTTGGTTCCAAAGCATTACTTTCACCCCATCTATCAGCATGATTTCTTTCCATGGCATTCCCAGGACATACAGAACTTTGATTAACTGCTCAGATAAGATAAATTATATTACGTGAGGAAAAAAATGTAGATTGGAAATTTTGATTTTTCTCTTTCATAACCAAGAAATACCTTTGTGACTCAAATCTTCGCCAAGGGAATAGACAGTTGGAAGCACTTTGGTGGCAGGAGATAAATTGCCGGGGATACTTCTCTTTGCACCTTGCAATCGATCATCTGGTTTCTCAATATCAGACATGGGATTTGCCCCTAAATTTTTAACGGGAGAAGAACTTAAGCAGCTGCTCTTCTTGTCATTCTGAACCCTCCACTTGTATCCATTGGCAGTTGGAAAATTGTTGTATGGTGAAAATCTCATTTGTGGAGAAGCAAATCTATGTTCCTTGTCCCTTCCTGGAGTAAGAAGGGGCAACAAGTCGTATTCTGGCAAAGACATTAATCTATCCATAGTTCTCAGAGTCTGTTTTCTTGAGAAATCTTCATTTCCGCTGTTTAATATCTCTGAAAGATGTTTAGTGGAGTGAAATTTTCCTTTGAGATGCCTTACAGTTAACAGGTCTGATGTTCCATGGCAACTTTCTGTGGAAGAAGCAGCTTTGCCTCCGATGCCTGAATGCCCTGAACCAACGTTCTCTGCTTGGCCCATCCCATCTCTTCTATTGACCTCAGGGGAAGATTTGGACATTTTGCCAACATCGAGACAGCTTTTACCAGTAGAAATTCTTTCATTTGCCTGCCTGCTTATTTCTTTACCACCCTCATTGAACTGTTTGAAGTCACGTTGAGATTTATGAATACCATCAAGGGACATCTGGCACTGCTCTTTTTTGTTTACCCTCATAGCATGCCTCAATTTCCTTTTCATGTGTTCAAAAGACAAGAATGCTGGCCTAGCACTCCTCTCCTTTTTCCTCAAGCTATAATGAGACTGTGGTGATGGCCAATCACTGATTCTATCAGGACAGTTTTGCATGCCAGGCTTCAAGACTACTATTGTGTTTGAAGGTTCGCATTCCCCTGCTTCTTTTGGCTGGCACTGTGATGTTTTATCTTTGGAAGAAGATTGATGTTGCTGATTCTTTGCCTGAGAATCCCGTAAACCTTGAATATGTTTCACTAGCAGTGAATTTGGGTCTTGTAGGAGTTTCGTGAATAATTCTTTGTTGGAATTTAAAATCTCCAATGCATCTATAAAATTCTTAGACCGGTTGGCTACCTCATTTCTACAGAGGTTCTCCCCATCAGTTAAGTTCTGATTTACAAAAGCTTCAACTGCTTCATTCATATGAACTCGAAGATTAATCTCAGTGTGGAGATAATGCTTCCCACCACCGTTGCTTTTACAACTATATGTCCCTCCATTGTTAGTATCCTCATCATCGCCGGATGCCTCTGTCAGTGATGCCAAGTTGTTGTTTAATTTGTCTACCATATTTTGATTAGAAGGCCGCCTACATCCCTCAGTTGCTTTATCATTACAACCACGAGCAGGAAAGCTACAGGATTTCTTGGAATTCTTGCTTGCCTTCCGATGGTCCTTTGAATGACCAACTAGCTTGGGGTTAAACTGTAGATTTTGCATTTCAGCAATGGCTGTGTTCTTCTTTATCTGATGCTTCACAGGCATCTCTTCTTTTATACTTCGTTTAACTTCTGGCTTCCTAGATTTAACCCTAAGATTCTTGCTATCAAGTGCATCCTGAAAAAAATTAAATTTTCATCTCAGAATCATTTTGCTCTTTGTTGCAAAGAAAGAATAATTACCAACATCTGTAATAGGCTTAAGGATGCATAGATTATTTCCTTGTTCATAATATGCATAGAATTTGATTGTAAAGCAGGTTAACAAACTCACATCTCTGCATTGATGCTTCTTCTCCTCATTAGTGGGAAAATCAGGCCCATTCCTTGTATAACCATCACCTACAGATGAAAAATCAGTATAAATTAATCTTGGTTGGACACGACAGCTATAAGACTTAAAACATGCATATGACAATTATCGATAAAATCAGAATAATTAATCTACTTTAAAGAACTTATCAGTACATCTGATTAGTAGGGAAAATGAAATTATATTTCATCCACAACCAAAAGCAAAATCTGACCTTTATCCTGTCTGTTAACGCGCTTCTTATCAGAAATGAGCTTCCCATGGGAATGACCTTGGCGAAAATCGAAGAAGTGAATTAATCCCCAGGCACATCCTGACTTGTACTTTTCATAGATTGCAGGGCTTTTAGGTGACAGCACAGGGCTCTTAAGCGATGGGCTCCTGGGCAATCTCCTATCCATATTTTGGGTGGGTGAGTACTAACTATGGCGCGTCTTGTTTGTTCATTCACTACCTCTTTGCTGCAACGGCATCAGATGAACACCTGAGCATGAGAACAAGGAAAAAGAATAGAAGAGACTATAAAGTTAATCAGCTAAAGAGACAGAAATTGTCAGTGGGATATTCAATGACATCAGAAACAAGTCGAAAAGTCAAAATTATTTAAATTTGAATATTTTTGCTGAGGTAATTCTCATAGAATTTAAATATTAGGTGTACTATTGACGCCATCCGTTCATACCCAGCAAAGATGGGTGGAAGAACCATGACACTGGTAAAAACAAATGCTTATATGTAGGGCATTTCCATTACAAACAAGTGTCTGATTGTACTGACAATGAACAACAAAATAAAATATTCAAAGCCACCTAAGACCCCAGAAAATGAAAGTAAAAATCTGCTAATTTCATGAAGAGGGGGAATGAGTTCTGAAGATTCCATGAAACACGAGGTCATATCAAAGAATTAAAAGCCAGTTTAAGCCAGTGCCAGCAAGTTCAAAGCATAGTAACTCCATTTTCTTTTCAGCACCCACTGGATCAGCTAAGATTGAATAAGCACACACCAAATCAACATAGAATGAAAATCTATACTTTTCAATACAAAGAAGCATGTTTTGAGATACAACGAGAAAGTACCTGAAATGGTTTGCGTTGAAGGAGAAGAAGAACAGAATCAACCACCCCTGTTTCAATATATTAAAAACTTTGGCATTCTATTTATGTCTGAACTCTGAACCATGTAAAAGAACAAAAAAAAAAAAAAAACCCTGTTCATGCATTGCTCATCATCTCCAAAAGTCAAAACCAAAAGCCTTGTCCCTTCATCTATCCAGATGACCACTTTTTTTTTTTTCTATTCCTTCCACTGACCAGTTCTTGTTATGGTGCTTTTCTGGCAGTGGGTTCGTGAGCCTTTTTGGCATTAAAGACAAACTGTAGAAGAGAAGAAGAAGAAGAGAAAAGAAAGGAGAGTTAAAGCCATGGAAGGAGAGGGAAAAAGAAAATTTTGGTTTAAAGATGAAGGATGGCAGAGAGTTATTATGACATTGACTAGTAATATAGTAAGGTTGCAGATATATAATATAATACACGTTATTATGGGGTAACCTTTCAATTGAAGCAAAACCTTTTGTCTTCTTTTCCCTCCCCCTCTCTTTCTTCTCTCTCTGCAATTAAAATTTCAACTATCATCACCAGTGCCCCCCTCACTGCTCCATTCCACATATTACTCACAGACGCACATTTCTGGCGCCTTCTACAGTATACTGTTGGATTTTTTTTATTTAAAAATCAATTTAATATTAAATTTTTTCAAAATGATATTACATTTCCCTATCCTTGTTCTGGTCAAGAAACAAAAAGCACTGTACGAGGTTACCATGTCTCACTCTCTGGCATTCCATGAAATGGTCTTAATGTTTAGCCTTTTTAATGGAAAGTTTAATGGTTTTTAGAGTTAAAGCCTGGTCATATTGATGGTAGGAGTTGGAGTATTCGTGTTAGGAAACGGCAGCGTGTTGGACGTCATGCACGACAGAATTGATTTTGCAGAGACGCTGCTGTCAGGGAAGGGGGAAGGTGCAGTGACATTGTCATCGTTGTCAACGTTTGTCCGAAAGTTAAAACTATTTTTGAAAATGGCCGTCTTTATGTGACCCTTTTGGATTTTCAATTTCCTGTACATCCAATTAGCTTGAAGATGATATGAAGGCGAATTTATAGCGAAATGTCCACTAGGTAAACGCCATTGATGATGCTCTGTCCTTTCTCATGGTTCCTGAGACTTTTAAACTTATTTTCAATACACAAGGTAAATTTGAAGTTCTAAACTTTCATCCTGAACTATTGTAATAAATATAAGTAAATATGCATCATTAGAGAAGGCACGCTTGTGCCTTGGTGACATTATATATTTGTAATTTTTGCAAGGAGAAGAAGATCGAAGATTGCTGTCACTCTTTATGTTGGCTCAATTAGTATTCATGTCTGTAATGATGCTTATTTAATCACTATGTTCTATGGTATATTTAATCCTACAATTTTATTTTATATTTTATAGAAAGATAATTGTCACGGCCTTTCCAAGTCATCCAATACATCAGGCAACATGAACACATAATCTTGGAAAGATTTAATTAAATATACGGTTAAAAATAATTCAATATTTTGGCGTGATATATTCAAATAATTCTCACATAGATTTTAATCAAAATAAAAAAGAAATTACCCATGAATTATTCACATGTTTAAGATTTCATATACATAATAATGAGATTTATATTATAAAGTGTGAACCCATGTTTTTTTTATGATTGTTTGATTTACAAGGCATGTGTGTGTGCTGGTATTCAAACTAGTTTGCTACCAAATAAGATTTTCAGGATGGTGAAAGCCGGATGGTTTTCTCCAAACGGAAAATCAATTGCCCATATTTTGGGTTAGCCGTCCATATCTCGACCAGCTGCCCGGTTGGGCTCAGGGGGTTGGGGACCGTTTTGACTTGGGCCCGACATAACAAACACTGGGACCACTACTGGTCCTGACACTTGGTAACAACCCCGAAAACTATACCCAATCCCACCGCCTGCCCTACAACATTACTACCATTCACTTGAATTTGAATTAAACCAGACCTGGATTTTTTATAAAAATTTCTAAATTTGAACCCCCAACATTTTCTTTTAAGTTGACATGTTACCTCTGAATTTCAGCCTAAGTAGAATGAATGTTCAATGATTTTGATCTGTTTTCGATTTTATCATAAGAGTCTAATTTTTTTATATTATTATTATTATTATTATTAGTATTATTTAATCATTAAGTAACTAAAACGGTTTTGATAACTATTAGTATCAAATATGCTTATAGCCTGTTTGGTCGACAATTTATTAATTAGATTCTGTCGTTGAAAACTCTGTTTGTTAGTGGTTTTAGATGTATTTGGTTTTACGTCATTAGATTTTGAATCTGAAAGTGATACAACGTTACCATAAGCTGGGTGGAAACATCAATGAGTTTGTTAGAAGGGCAAAAATTCATAAGCTGGAATAAATAAATAAATAAATAAATTATTCTCTAAATGTTTGATAAATTCATTGGATTCATTCGTGGTTTACAAGCTTCAACACAATCAAACTTATGTTTGAAATTCAAATTAATCTCAATTTTCAAACTTAGTCTAACAACTGAATTAACTAAACTCGTGTAAAATCAACCTACCATAACTAGAAATAATTAAATATAAAGTTTTATTTAATTTAAAAAATTGGAAGACATTTTCACATTTAGATTAGTTGCTTATAAAAAATGACAATTTCAATGTTTTGAGTTAGTGTTTGATTTCATTTTCAACATCACCTTAGTGATTTAATCTCCACCGTGATCTTATTACCACAGTAATTTTATAATAAGTGATTTAAAATTATCTTATTTGGTTATTAATTATTAATTAATGAAAAATAATAATTTGAATATTGTATGAAGATAATAATTTGTAAAATATTAGTATTTTTTTTATATAAGGTATAATTAAATAATTTAATTAATAAATGTGAGAAATATATTTATCCATAGATAAATAAACTTCTAAAATATTAACTAAATAAAAATATTTGAATGAATTAGAAAGTGAAGCTAAATCTATTAAAACGATAATGAATTTGTTGAGAAAAAAAATTATAACATATAAAAAACAAGGTACTTTTGAATTTGGTACAAAGAATATATATATTTTAAAAAGTAGATATTTACTATATAAAAGTAATTACAATAATGTGAGAAATTAAGTCTTTTATTCACACATTAAAAGGATAATATTAATTATAATTAATTTTATAGATCATTTCACTTCAATGAAAAAATTTATTTACTTTTTCGAATGGAAAGATTATTCTTCAAGACATTAATTTAATCACTCCCATTGGATTTAGATCATTATTACGTAAAAAATATGAAATTTTTATCAAATACAGTGATTTAATTATGTGGTATAAATTACCACAAATATTAAGGTAATCACCCTAGACAAACACCGCCTAAACTTTTTTGTTTTTGAAAAATGTGATTTAATTTGTATCTAAATTGATGGAAGAAGTTTAGTTCAAAACAAACTTTAACAGTCTGCGCTTTGCTTCCATTCCCTGTCTAGGCTTTACGCCCAATGAGTACATGGGCCAGAGGTCCAAGATTGTCCATACTTTTCAAATCCAAAAGCCCAAGCAATTTCAACGTTCAAACTTCAAACGACGCCGTGCGGCATCAAATTTCCCAATCCTAAAACCTCTATCCCCTCCACACTAAAACCTTCACTGCATCTCTCCCTCTCTGTCTCTCTACGATGGCTTTCAGTCTCCTCTCTCTCCCCACCGTTCTCTCTCCTCACCGCTACCATGTCTCTCTTAAAAAACACCACCGCCATCGCAACGGTCATTTCCTTTTCAAGCCTCTTCGCCTCCTCTTTTCGCGCCTTCCTGCCATCGGCCCCAGCGGAAAGTATTATCCTAACCTCCGACGATGACCAGAAGCCAGAGAGACTCCATGCACGGGGTAGACAAGTTCCAGCAAATCCACCGCCAGAGCAGCCCGGGCCCGCAAACTCCAAGAAGAGATTCAACAAGCACAAGTCAAATTACTTTCTGCCATTGCGGACGTGGACGAAGACGTGTTGAATAAAGAGAAAACAGGAAACGATGACGGGGACGATTTGTTCGGTGAGATTGATAAAGCCATTGCAATGAAACGGCAAGAGTTAGTTGAGCAAGGTTTGCTACAGCCAGCTCCGAAAAAAGAGGAAGCCTTTGATGATGAGTTGGGACCTGATGAAGTTGTTGACTTGGAAGAAATTGATAAATTACAAGCTTTGACTGTTGTTTCTGATTCGGATGATGGAGAAAATGAAGATTCAGGTGAAGAAGATTCTTCGAAATTCGATGTCCGTATAAGTGATTCTGAAGGTAAAAAAGGAGAAAAAGGTAAAGTTAATTTGTTGGATTCTTCTTTCGATTTAGATTTAGATAGTTTTGGAAAGACTAAAGTTAGAATTGTGGAACCTAAGTTTAAAATGAGTTTAGCTGAGCTTTTAGATGAAAGTAAAGTGGTGCCCGTTTCGGTTTATGGGGATTTAGAGGTTGAGATAACAGGGATACAGCATGATTCAAGGGTGGTTAGTGCTGGGGATTTGTTCGTTTGTTGTGTTGGGAGGAGAACTGATGGGCATCTGTATTGAGTGAAGCTGATAAAGAGGAGCTGTTGCTGTTGTAGCAAGTAAGAGATTGATATTGAGGATACCTTGGGATGCAAGGCATTGGTCATTGTTGAGGATACTAATTCGGTTTTGCCTGTGTTAGCTGCATCTTTTTATAGGTACCCTTCAAAGAATATGGCAGTTATTGGGATCACTGGGACTAATGGTAAAACAACCACGTCTTATTTGATAAAAGGGATGTATGAGGCAATGGGTTTAAGGACTGGGATGCTAAGCTCAGTTGCTTATTATATACATGGTGATAATAAGTTGGAATCCCAAAATACGACCCCAGATGCTGTTTTGGTTCAGAATTTGATGGCTAAGATGTTGCATAATGGAACTGAGGCGGTTGTAATGGAACATCTTCTCATGGCTGGCTTTAGGGAGATGTAATGAGGTTGATTTTGATATTGCGGTGTTTAGTATTTGACTAGGGATCATTTGGATTTTCATGGGACTGAGGAGGAGTATAGGGATGCTAAAGCAAAGTTGTTTGCAAGGATGGTTGACCCTGAGAGGCATAGGAAAGTTGTTAACATTGATGATGCGCAGGCACCTTTTTTTATTGCGCAAGGGAACCCTGAAGTTCCTGTGGTGACCTTTGCAATGGAGAATAAGAATGCAGATGTTCATCCCCTGAAGTTTGAGCTGTCTCTATTTGAGACGCAGGTCTTGGTTAATACACCACATGGGATATTGGAGATTTCATCAGTTTTGCTTGGAAGCATAATATCTATAATATTCTTGCAGCTGTGGCTGTTGGATTGCAGTGGGGCACCCTTGGAGGACATTGTAAGAGGAATCGAAGAGAGGTGATGCTGTTCCAGGTAGGTGTGAGTAAAAATAGATGAGAGCAGGCATTTGGAGTAATGTGGACTATGCTCACACTCCTGATGCCCTTTCTAGGCTGCTTGATTCTGTAAGGGAGCTTGCACCAAAGAGGATTATTACTGGTATGTTTCTACTTATGGTTTTTCTTTAACTCCCTACTTCAAATGAAACATACTTCCTCCAAATTGAACATCATTACCTGGTCTTTTCTTTTTTTTTACTCTTTTTTTTCTAACCAATTATATGTCTTTTCTAAAGTTATTGGTTGTCCTGGGGAGAGTGACCGGGGGAAAAGACCAATGATGGCCAAAATCTCAACTGATAAAAGTGAAGTGACGATTCTGACATCTGATAATCCAAAGAGTGAAGATCCATGTAAGTACAAGAAAATGTAAAATCATCATGAGTTGCAACAACGGTTGCCTAGAAACATGTGGCTAATAACATATATGTTTCATCTTCTTATCAGTGGACATCTTGGATGACATGTTAGCTGGTGTGGGGTGGACAATGCAGGAATATTTGAAATATGGAGAAAATGATTACTATCCACCTCTGCCAAATGGTCATCGACTTTTTCTGCATGATATTAGGCAGGTAGCTGTACGTTGTGCTGTTGCCATGGGTGAAGAAGGCGATATGGTTGTAAGTTATTTGAATTTTGGATGTGCTTTTTGAAGGGAATTGGTTAGCCTCTATATTCCTAGTAATCTAGAAACCCACATCTTCATGACTATAGTTATATGCTTTTGCAAATGAATAGTTTTACAACTCTGGACCTTATGTAATTGCAGTCCTCATGCACCACAAAAGAGTTGCACATTACCTCATGTGTATAATTTGTTGAAAAGTTTAATTAGTTATTTCACACGGTTTCCTGTTGAACTTTAGAGTTTGGAGAATAAACCATGTGAAAAAGATTTATTATTGTTTCTCCCATCCCACTTCCTCCTTCTTGCATTTCCTCCTTTTGTTGGAGGGACAGGGGTGGGTTACTTCAATGAGGTAGTCATCCTTCTCTTGTCATGCATGCACCTGCCAGGCTTGAATTTTCATGGTTTACATAGCCCACACCTCTCACTACATGCTCTGTTCTTCATTAATATAGTGATATGTATATTTGTATATTTGACGTAACTGTGTGATGCAGTGTGATTGCTGGCAAAGGCCATGAAACATTCCAGATGAAGGTGACAAAAAAGAGTTCTTTGATGACCGTGAGGAATGCCGAGCATTGCAATATGTTGATGAACTCCACCAAGCAGGAATAGACACCAGTGAATTCCCATGGCGTGGGTTTATCTCTATTAATTCCGCTAAATTATCAAGAATTCTTCAGTTTTTACCAATGTGGAACTGCATATCATGTTTGTGAATTATAAGGTCATATATCTATGTCATTATGATACCATGTATATCCTAGCAAAAGGAATTGAAGAATGAATGCTATTCACATCGATTTATATGAAAAAGCTGTAATTCATGTTTTCTTTTTGCTTATCTCTGCAGGTTGCCGGAGAGTCATTAATTTCCATGAATGTACAGATGGGTTGATGTTAGACTATGGCAGGGAATGGTACCTCTGGATTGAAACCCTGCACTTTGATCCTTTGACAATATTTTAACTGAAAAACATGAGGATGCTGCTGCCCTGGTGGAGGCACTCGTATAAGCTGTTTGAGGGCATGGATTGATGGAGTCGTTAACTAAATAGAGAACAGTACGAACTCCACCTTGCAATCTCATTAGTTTATATTTAACTTCGTTGAAGTCTTATAGAATTCCTTTTGGATATAAATTTTGAGGTAGTCCTCTACTTTCTTTTCAATTATTGATCGCAATGCATTCAAAGCTGGAGGCTTGGCGGCAGGGAGTAGATTGTACCATATGCTTAAAAGCAGAAGTGGTTCATGTCTTGGGTTTTAGTAGTAATTCTTAATTGTCTTGTTTCTTTTGTTCTCAAATAGGTTATTCTTGATGTAAATTCTTTTTGTCCAGGTTTTACAAATTTTGATATCATTCCAAAAGGCTGCTCATAAAAATGGGCCCTGTAAGAGATAAGGTACAATTTTTTTGTATGCCAAATGACTATTTTTCTGTGTGTATATATAAAATCTTATTCTGAAATCTAATTGTGGAATGATAACAGATTCTGTTAACTGGATGCCGCACTTTTGAAATAGTATTACAGATTATTGTGGTGCAGCATGTGCTTGTTTAGTCTGATGGAACAACGTCTTAAGTTATTGGTTTCTTAATGATTTGATATTATTCTTGTTGCCAACCATGAAGAAAAAGTAATGAGTGCATAATAAGTTTAATGCAATTTAGAGAATGCTATAGTTTGTTTCTTTTTGTGTAAGGATACTTAAGGCTGGTCCTTTGATTGTTAAAAAAAAAAAAGACATGAACCTGAGGTTTCAATTTTGCTTTTCTTCCATTTTGGATGGAATATAGGTGCATCTGTACTGCACAACCAAGCAAAGATGCTGCTTTGAAAAAAAAAAACCCTGAATGAGGCGCCAACTTGATGTTTTGGTTACTTTTACAGTTAGGGTTTAATGAGTTACTGTGATGACTTGTTGCAAGGATGAGTATCAGTTCAAGCATCTGCAAGCCATAGGCTTTTGTGTCACAAATTATGGTAAGCATGATATTTTGTGAAAGGATTAGTCAAGCTTTATGTTGAGGACTGATTTATCTGCTTTAATTCTAAGAAATAAAAAACATTACACAGATATGTAGCGTACGTTGAGGAAATCCTCTTGGCTCATACTATGCCGTAGGTATTTGTTTTCTCATTTATTCAGTTATATTGTTAGTAAATGAGGACAGCATTGAGTTAATATAGCAAATAATTGTGTCTAATTGTTGTAGATATGCATGAAGCTGCAAATTCTTGCAGTGGATGAAGGAGTTTCCAGTTCGGTCTCTAAGGACATTAATGCCATTTCAACGCCAGTCTGCAAACTGTAGCTGGTACACTGCCTGCTAAGCTGGAAAGCCTCTAAACCAAGAAACACAGAGCTCTTTCTATTTCAATCGTTTAAGGGTGGTGAAACTGAAAGGAAGAATATAGACAACATGCCGAGACTTTAATAGCTAATTAGGTATCTCAAAATCATTATAACTAAGAATTTTATAACCAAAAATGTCGAACAATCAAATTTTCATGGCTCCTTACTTTTTATTTCCCTTTCACGTTCAAAGCATCAACCATGTCATTCATTTTCCTGGTTTCGCGATATGCTCATGCATCTTGTAGTGATTTTTAAACCAAGTTAGTTTTTGAGGTTTCAAGTTGGATTGATTGTCAATCAAGTTGTTTCAATTAATCGATAATTTAATAGGTATCACGAGTTTATATTTTTAACTCGAAAGATATACTGATAATTAGAGAAAGATTTTCATTCATAAATTCAAAATTTATCACGTAGAATCTTCTACACATGGTTGTATTTGGAATTTTGTTGAATCTATTTGGTTAAATGCGATTATTTTCTTTCTAAAATTTCAAGATAAACATATTATTCATGAAAGGTAAAATGTCAAAATATACTTAATTTTTGACTTATAATCTAGAGAATGCATTTCCATAATTAAAGAAATTAACGTGTTTTTATAACTGAATCGTATTATTCATGAAATGTGATTCCATAATTAAAGAAATTAATGTGTTTTTATAATTAAAAATAAATAATAAAATTATAAGTAGAAGATAATGAAAGCAAATCCTTCTTGTTAATGGAAAATCCGTGCATACTTGAGCAGAAAATTAAAAACATTAACCGCCAATCATCATGAATAATGAGAGAGAAAACCCATTTCTTGCACGTATGAAACGTTGGTGTGAGTAAGAAAAGGCAAAAAAAATCTATTACATCACAGCTGGAACTTGAAGAGAGGTAAAAGCTCCCAACAAGGCTAAAGAATTATCATGGATTTTACATGGTAGGCAAATCAAAGACAAAACAGAAAGTTTGGTGGGAAGTCAATACAGGAAAAAGCCAACTGGTGCTCCGATTTTGATGGCCTAAAAAGGTTAATAAATGCATTGTTTAATACTATATATTAAGTAATGCTGGAAAACCCAAGTGTTAAGCTCGAGCAATCATCTATCAGACCAGCTTTTTGGAAAAAGTGGTGGAAAAGAAAGACGATTACCCCATAACTCTCTCTGCCATAACGTCACCCAACTCACTGACTCTCTCGTTTTTTTTTCTCTCTTTTCCTGTGCAACATGAGATAGCAAGAGAAGGACAATTGTATAATTTCTATCCTTTCAGAGGGGGACGTATAGGCATAAATGCAGAGAGATAAAGAGAGAGAGAGAGAGAGAGAGAGGCGCTCGAGTAAGTTGTAAGACATGGGAGTGTGACTATGATGATTGATGATGAGCGAAAAGGGATCCTCCTGGTTTGAGTCTGTGTTATCGACTGATACATGGTGAGGAAAGTTCTTCTCTTCTAAGCATAACTGCAGAAAAAAGATTGGTTTTTCTTTTGTTTTGGAATTCTTTTGATCATGTATCTTGTTCCTGAGGTGAACCTCAGCCTAAGAATTTGACTTTACTAGCTTTTTGATTTGTTGTGACTTGTTCTAGTTCTTTGACTGTTTCGTGCCTATCTGTAGTACCTCTGGTCATATTTCTGGGTCTATGAGACCATAATACAAGAAATCTCTATTATTAGGTTCTGAATGTAAACGTCAATCCTTTTTCATTACTGATTGATAACACTCTTTTGTAGATGCTCAGATCATTTTCTTCCAGGGCTTAGTGGTTTTAGATCCTTATATTGTATCCACAAGTAGTTTGTGGTGCAACTTTATGTTTTTATTGGCTTTTATTCGGCCTGATAGAATAAGTTTGAGGCTTCTGCATTTCCGAGACTCAATTGATTGTTTGTAGGTGTTTATGTAGGAATTGGAATTTGATTTAGTCCTCTAGGAACTGAAATGTATCCTTGCTTTAACATCTCGGTTCCATTTTGTTATCTGTGAATTGGGTCCAATTGTTCATCCTTTTGGACCTTTCTCAACTATGTTCCTTCTAGAATTAGAATAAAGGGAATCTGTCAAAGTTCATTCAGTTCCTTATTTCCCACCCCCATCTTTGTTTTCCCCTGGTTTAGTGGATTGTCATATACTTTTGGTCAGGCAATACTTATGGTGGGTGTTAAACAATATCTGCCCTTTAATTCACTCTCATTGATCTTGGGCTGTTCTTTGCTATGCCACAGGGTGCAGCTAATGTATTATATAGTTTGCTTCTACTTTGCAGGATTAACTTGTGAAAGAGTGTTATGCTGGAAGGAGTAGATTTGATCTTGAGATGAGCAGCACTTCTAGTGTCCAACAGCTATCATACTTCTAGCAATGTCCTGTGACATTGAGGACAAGTGGGGCTAATTGTTGATTTATTTGATATAAGTGGGGCTAATTGGTGGTCTAAAATCTTCTGAGTCATTATATGGTCCTAAGTTTTTGCAAAGTGCAGGTTCAGGTGATGCCCCCAGCAGAAATGGGAGAACTAGAATTTCAGCAACGTTGGGAGTACAGAAGGAGAGACAATGACTTTGATTCTTCATGCGATGATTCAAAATCAAGTAGCGAGCCACTTCGCAAAAAGCATAAGCTGGTATCAAGCTTGATCTCCGTAGGTGATCATGAAACTAGTGGACTTAAGCAGAAGGACAACGACAATCCTGGAACAGGGGATCAAATCAATGTTGGGAAAGCTAAGAAACGGAAAGCCAGGAATATAAGCAACAATTTACAGAACAGTAAAAGGAAGAGGGATTCTCCCAAAGAAGTTGATTTACCGGAGGGTGAAACAAGTGCTTATGATCCTGTTCCTTTGGATGATGTTAAGAACTTCATGGAGTCTTTATTAGAGGATCTTAAAGTTACTAGAGAGAACTTATTGAAATTGTTGATGGAGGAAATGCAAAAGTTGGTGGCAGATGATACTACTCCAGAGCCGAAAAGGAGAAAACGTGGTCATAGAGGGAAGAAGGTCCAGTTGCAGCCAACAAAAAAATCTAAGAAAGTTCAAGATCAACATGGAAAAACTGCCAAGGAGAGCATGCAAGTCCAGCATCCGAATAACTTCGAGGAAAGTATCCAAGTCCAACAGCATAATAACTTTCAGAAAACAGTCCTTGCACAACAGCAAAACAACTTTCAGGTGAACGTGATGCAGCTTCAAGAGGAGGAGAATATTAACAGGCAGCATCAGAATGACATAAAATATGGCATGAGATCTCAGAACTGCAATAACAGATCTTTAGTAGGACTTCCTAAAAGTAGTCATGCTGCTTATTCTACTGATTGCTTCAATGCATTAGGAGATGGAGTTGACTCTGGAAAAGTAACTGAAGTCATTACTTCATCGAAGAAGAGCGAAGGAGATAGCTCGTCAATATCTGCGAAGTCAAATCTTCAAACAAGTTGTGCTGACCAAGATGTTCAATTGCAGAGTCATAAGAGCGTTGTGTTGGCAATAGAAGCTCAAAAGAGGAAGGGTGGATCTTTGGAGAGAAGTGTAAAAAGCAAGAATACCGTTGATCGCAGCAGTCACTTTCAAGTACCTGAAGATCAAGGTGGTCATGGCCAAGCCATGAGAACTGCATTAGCCACTGAAAAGACCAACGGGGAAATGTTGGGATCATCTGTTGTTCAAAATTTTCTTTCTAGTCCCTCTGGTCAGGCACCTTCTTCTATGTATTTAACGTTACCCACTGTCCTAACTGAGCCCATTGTTGCTCCCATTGTTGCTAATCGCGGGCTTGATGCTTCATTATACGACTATATTCTACCAAGAGTTGCTATGAAGAAAAGAGGCGCGAATTCAGAAAGAATGAATCAAATTCTGGAAGCAAGTTGTACTCAAGGATCATTTCCAGTTATACATCCAGAAGAAAGAATTCAAAGCTTTGCACCAATGGGATCCAGAAATACGGGTTGCGTTAATCAGAACAGCACCCCAACTTCAGGTATTGGGAATGGATATCCACTCCCACTTCATCAGGGTATAGATGTTGGTTTATGCATTCCAAGACAAGTTCATGCAGAATATCTTTATCAGGACAATGACAAAACACTGGCTTTGAGGATGAATGGAGGAGCAATCAGTTTTGCTGGGGGAACCTATAATCTATCAGAACACCCTGCTGCCAACAATCGCCATTTCCATTCAACTTATCAATCCGACAGTGGACTTATGTCGTATCAACTCCAAAACATTAAAGATGGTCATCTTTTACCGTAGTTCATCAGCAGGAATTAAGCCTCTTAGGGAAATCTATTTTAGGCAAATAGGTCTCAATCCCATGATGTTTCTAGATTGTCTGGTCTGTTTTTTTCTTTTCTTTCCTTCTCAATCTTTATAACCCCGAATTAGTGTTCTTTGATTGTTTTCCTTCTGATTCTGCTTTTAAAAATGGATGGAAGTTAATTTCATTCTTCAAAAAACACCGTGCATTTGCCAACTAAAAGAAAATGGGCAGAGATTTGAGGTCCAATGTGCGGAATCGTAATTCCTAACCTAGCTTGATGCCTCAAGAAAATCTAATTGTACTGCAAAGGGGTTTGGATTGTTGGGTCCTTTGAAATCTTTCACGTCTGGTTAATGGAGTCAAGTTGACTGTGGCACGTGACAAAAGGCCTAAATCCTGTTGAAAAGAGAGTTCAATGTTGTTAACAGTGAACAGATTCCCTCAGCATTCAACTGTACCCACCTTGGAGGATAAGGGAAAACCCAATGGTTCAAGAATGCTTCATGAAAGAGTTTAAAACGTAATGAAACCAAGGCCACGCTTTGATCACAAGGCAGGGAATATGCAATTGGATTGGTGAACATATCAGAAATTAAAAGGAAAGAGCCCTTCATTAAAGAGTTGCTTGATATTTTTTTGTTGAATTGGGAATTCATTACTGATCAACTAGCCGATGATACCTCTTTAATGTATTCCATTGAATGTGGATGGAATTCATTAAAGCATGAAATTCCATGATATATCTGATTCTCTCCCCACTTAAAAAAAAATAAATCTTATCTGTCTGCCATAAGTGAAAGATATGATTTAACAGAGGATCTTCGTCGCTTCCTCCTTTTGTTGGACGCTTTATAGGATGGAAACTAGACAATGACATCCCACCAAATTTACGAATGTTTTCAGTTTAATAACTACAACCCTGTCCATCTTTCAAACCCTTTGTCGAAAGCATTACAACACTAATCATCATCAAACGAGAAGATGATTAAACTCTCAAAGTCTAAAGATTGGAATAATTATCAAAGAATTCTGGGTAAATTGTCGGCACCTCGAACAGCCGTGGTCTTTGACGATGGGCACATGCGGCAGTTCATTTGGGGTACATAACCACATGCATATGGTCCAACAAGAAACAACATAAAACACGTCTTGAGATCGTTTTGATGTCGAAGCCATGAAAGCAAAACGACAATCGAACATGGAGGAAAAAGTTTGTGCACAACACCAACTGTGATTCTACTATTATCACTTGAAAGTGACGAACCTCTACTTATTTCTTGTTGGTCGACCGGTTTCGCCTTTTACTGAAAAATCATGGTCGTCAACGTGGGCTGATTCCTATAGAAACTTTTAGCTTTGGATTGATTGGCTAATCTCACTAAGAAAGAAAAAAGAAAAGGGGAGAGAGAAAATTCATTGCTTATAATTCTTATATGATTGAGGGCTGAAACTAGCACACCAAGAATCTTTCTTCTGCCATTGAAAGTAAAGTCTACAAAGGAAAATGAAAGAAAGGGGAATTCTCCCAATAATGGATTAACACTTGGTCTTGAAATTTTGTGCTAAAAGGGTTCTATGATTTACTTAATTGAAATATTTAGGATGGGTGTGAATGATTTTTGCACAAATTCTCATATCTAAAATAACTTTATATGGTCAAATATTCAATGGGTACTGTTCATATTCTAAATTTGTTATGTCATATTTTTGTCACAAATTCTCATAAACTATTGTCCATATAATTAGAGTTTAGACACAAAGATACATTCTTAAACCCAAATTTAAAAACAAATAATTTTTTTTTTTCCAAAATTGGGTGATAATAATCCAAAAGCTTTTTTTATCCTTTTCATGATGATGGCTATGAACATGATTCCTTACCAATCCCAAATCACAACCGACTACCCTTTGTCTTGAGGAAGAGCAAATGTGCAAGAAACTCTTATGACGGTGTAAAGGGGAGTGACATGACAATACTCAAAGACAATAGGCAATCACTCATACAAACAACTGAAAGATTAACATCCTTCTTTCCTGTCGACGTTACTTACCGCGGTTTTCCAACTGTCCGGACACGTACGGAATCGGGAATCCCCACTCCACCGGCCAAAACCATTTAATTATTTATCTCCATAAAAGATTAATAGTGAGAATTTATATAATTTTTTATGAACAAAACTTCAACCCAATAATAAAACGTTGGGCTATGGTCTCCAAAGCTTTTACTCTAATAATGGTCATTTTTAAAAAGAGAAAAGGATTGCGAATTGCCTGGCAAAAGGCTAAACGACGTCGGACTGGTGACTTCAGCAGGCATGCAGTTAGGTGACCTTTGAGGCTTTGACGATTGCTTTCAATTGCTTATTCCACTTCCTTCCAAAACCAGTAGATCTATTGCTCATTTATTGTTTCCATTTATTAACAACCACAACTCCAGTCTGCTACTCATTATTTTATTTATTTATTTATTGGATCTTTAACTTAATCAGTAGTAAGAACAGAACAAAAGCCAAAAGCAAACATCTTGTCTGATGCCTAGAAATAAGGGAACTTCAAAGGGTCCCTGAAGAAGGAAAATTGGGAGTAGGAGGAAAACCAAGTCAATGGATTTACGGAGTCTTTGCAGAGTAATCTTCGTAACAGCTCTGATTCCACTTGTCTGTCGGCCATGTTCTGTCACCGCCGGTGATATAGTACACGACGACGATTCAGCTCCCAAGAAGCCCGGTTGTGAGAACGACTTCGTTCTGGTAATCAGTCGAATCTACTTTCTTTCCTTCTACCACTTCTTGTTTCTTTGTTTTCTCAACTGGGTTTGCTTAAATTTTTGGTTTTGATTCCTTTCTTCTTGAATTTGGTAGTGGTAAGCATTTAAATTTTGTTTCTTTTCGCTCTAGGGATCATACGAAATGGAATTTGGAAGTCTTGAAGTGGGCGTTTTGGATGTTGATTTTCTATAATTTAATTTCTTAAAGACTCAAATTTGTGTATAAACTAAACTAGCTTTAGTCTGGTGAATTGTACCATATCAGTATATTGTATAGCATTTCGTTCTTATCTTAAGTTGCTGGGCGAGCCTTTTTTTTCTTCTTTGTTGCTGCAATTTTAATTTCGTGATTTTTATGCTGTTATTTTTTCCTTGTACTTTCTATGTGTCTTCTTGGTATTATACTCCTAGATTGATATTAACTGTTTGTCTTAGTGGTTAGTTTATAAAAATTCTTGAAGTTGGAGTGAGAAATCGTGATAATGGCTATTTCCTTGCATTGCTCATGTAGGATTTCCTGCCCTTTCTGTCATATTGTTTCTCCTTCAATTTAGGACTCTCCACGTTGTTGGAGTAAACTTGTTCTCAATATTGATTTGTATGGCTGTTGTATCTTGTTGATTTACCATCGTTTTTGTTTCATCTATAGAGTTTAATCTTCAATTCTCTTGACTTTGTTAGGTCAAAGTTCAAACTTGGGTTAATGGCATAGAGGATGCTGAGTTTGTCGGTGTTGGTGCCAGATTCGGTACTACCATAGTGTCAAAGGAGAAAAATGCAAACCAAAGACGCCTTATTCTTTCTGACCCTCGTGATTGTTGTAGTCCCCCAAAGAATAAGGTTTGTTATTTGGATTATCGGTATGCTCTTACATTTATGTATGGCCATGCCCAACAAGAAAGTGCAGTAGGCTAATACCGATCAATAACTTCAATTTTGTTAGCTTGCTAATGATATCATTATGGTGGACCGGGGCCACTGCAAATTCACAACCAAGGCAAATAATGCAGAGGCGGCTCATGCTTCAGCTGTCCTCATTATAAATAATCAGAAAGGTAATTAATGTTTTTGGTTGTTATTTGATGGTGTGTTAAGTAATCCAGGTTTTTGAATGCATTGTTGATAAATATATCACAGTGGCATTGTTACCTTAACTGGAATAGGAATGGTTTTGTAGGCATTGTTACATTAACTGGAATAGAAATGGTTTTTTATTATTACTCTGAATTTTACCCTTTTGGATTGCCATGAACAAGTATGAGAATGGCGGTGTTCAGTTTTCAATTATTGTTGGATAAATAGTTTGACCTAGAAAGACAACATATTGGAGTGCATTGTTAAAGGTAAAAGTTTTTTCTTCTCCTCCAGAACTCTACAAGATGGTATGTGAGCCTGATGAAACAGATCTAGATATACAAATACCTGCTGTCATGCTCCCACAGGATGCTGGTGCAAGCTTGGAGAAAATGTTGACAAGTAATGCATCAGGTAAGCTTCTACTCTAATATTTGTTTTACTTAATTTTGTCACCAGCATACATGATATCTTTCTAAATGCTTTGCGCTTTTGCAGTGTTGGTACAGCTTTACTCTCCAAAGCGACCACTAGTTGACATAGCCGAAGTGTTTCTATGGTTGATGGCAGTTGGTACCATATTGTGTGCTTCGTATTGGTCTGCATGGAATGCAAGAGAAGCTGCTATCGAACAGGACAAACTATTAAAGGTCACATGCAGTAAATTTTGCATATTGCCCCATGCAGCATGTATAGAGTTGTGTCTTTCTGTTTACAGCTATGTTATGCTTATTAATGGATAGACCTTATCTTGTCAATGCAGGATGCCTTGGATGAAATTCCCGATACCAGACATGTAGCTTCTGGTGGTATTGTGGACATTAACACCACATCAGCTGTCTTATTTGTTGTTGTTGCTTCTTGTTTCTTGGTTATGCTTTATAAGCTTATGTCATATTGGTTTGTTGAGATCTTGGTGGTTCTTTTCTGCATAGGTGGTGTGGAGGTACAACTTCCTTTTATGTCTGGTTCCCAATTATTATTCATCTATGTATGCATGCATATGCTGCTTCACTTAATTCATGTTATCAATTTGCATACACGAAATGTTTCTATGAATATTATCCAATTTTGTCTCATGTGTTCCAGATATCAATAAAGTATTAGCATGTAACTCTAAAGTTTCATGTATGTGCAGGGCCTTCAAACTTGCATGGTTGCTTTATTGTCAAGGTATTAATGTATTTCTTAGTATGAACTCAGTATGTTATGAGAAGTTTGCATTTAAACACCTGCCAGGTCTTCATGTCCACTTTTGGGTTATTGTTAATTGATTCCTGTATATTCACTGCTGATCATGTTTTGTTATTATTGTCTGCATGATATGGAGCGGATGGTTATAAGTGATAACCATCAAAGTATTATGAGCAGTTGAATAGAAGGATTTAGTTTGAAAACTATGTTGTTCATAATTGTGCCAACTGTCATCAATAGAAGAAAAAAATGGTCGCACTTTGTTGCTGTGGATGCCCATGCATTTAGTTTCTTTTGCCTAGATAAATACCCGTCTGTCTGTTTTACATCCTTCATTAATTAAGGGGATTGACTTGTCTTTTCAATGTTGTGAACAAATTTTTATGTCTCACAGGTGGTTCAAGCAAGCTGGAGAATCATACATAAAAGTCCCTTTCTTCGGAGCTCTCTCATATCTCACATTGGCTGTTTCGCCTTTCTGCATAGCATTTGCTGTTGTTTGGGCTGTTTACCGCAATGTTTCCTTTGCTTGGATAGGTCAAGATATACTAGTAAGGATATACTTTCTTATGGTTTTATTTAACATATTTCAAGATTATATAAGTTCCATTATTGTAAAGCATTAATAATCCCTTTTTTTGTTATCCATTTTTTCCACTTTCTCTTGGTGATGTGCTAAATTTTGGGTTCTGGCTAGTGGCTGGCAACCATAAATGAGAGGCAAGCTAATTGGATCCATGAGTCATGTCGTGAATACAATAGCTATGTGCTTCAATAATAGAATGTGCCTATCTTTATACACCATGCACACCCTATCTTATTGAGCAACAATTTTTCTTTCCTAGTAATGAAAAAGAGTGAGTTTAAGATAAGTTAATGTTTCAATTAATAGATGACAACCCTTTTTTTTCTTCCGGATGCATGATGGAGAATTTCTTTCTTTTTTTTTTTGTTTTAATTAAGCTACGGCTTCGCTAGAATATTCAATATAAATAGTGGATTTAGAATGCTGTAATTGGTCAGTGATGTAACCATCTTAGGTGTCATGTATTGCAATACCACATTAATGTGTATAGGTTACAACCACCATTTATTTGGATGGATATGAGACATGTGGCTTAGTCCAAATTCATGTACTTCTCTCCCTTTCTATGTTTTCTTTTTTGACAAGATGTTGATGCAAGATTTACATGTCTGGTTTCAACATATAATTTGTTTTCTTCTCAGGGAATTGCACTGATAATCACAGTTCTGCAAATTGTCCATGTACCTAATCTTAAGGTAATGTTTCAAATTTATTTGTTTGATCTCGTTATGTTTTAGACTTGTAGGGACTCTCTTAGGTTTCGTAAATTTGTGCCCTGGAATGTCCAAAATAATCGAATATGGAATATTTTTGACAAATACTACAATTTCTGGGGAACAAGTTGTTATCGTGACATAACTCTGGTTGGTTTGTGAATCAGGTGGGAACGGTTCTACTCAGTTGTGCCTTCTTATATGACATCTTTTGGGTGTTTGTTTCTAAGAAGTTGTTCCATGAAAGTGTGATGATTGTGGTAAGTAATCCAGCTTATCCAACTCTAGCCCATAAGCTATATCAGAACTAGAAGGTTTAGACTATTAGGATATTCAAAATTTGAAGGCTAGAAAGTAGTACTAAATTACTGATTGCTTATGTCTATTTTCATAGGTAGCTCGTGGTGATAAAAGTGGAGAGGATGGCATTCCAATGCTACTGAAGATCCCACGAATGTTTGATCCATGGGGTGGTTATAGCATAATAGGATTTGGTGACATCCTCTTACCTGGATTACTGATAGCATTTTCACTCAGGTTAGAACTTTGCAGTCTTCATTTGCAAAATAGACTTCTATTCCTGTTGCTCGTCTGTACATGCAAACTTATCCATTAATGTTCTTACCTTTCTTTTCAGAGAAAATGTCCTTTCATACTTCTTCAGACATTGTGTTTACTTTCCATGTTGGACAGTTTTTCTTCAAGTATTCAACTGGTTCATAAGGAGGTTTTCTTTTTGGGATAGTGGCTCTTAAGGGGTTGTTATTCACTTTTAATCAGAGAAGAGGGAGCTATTTTTTTTTACTATTTGAGCAATAAATTGGTAAATAAGAAGACATTTAAATCAAGCATACTTTTGGCAGAAAAATGGTGCTACTATAATATATATGGCATATCAAGAAAAGTAGAGCAATTTCCACTGATGCATTATCTTTGAATATTTCATGTTTCAGGAAGCAAATTAAATCTAACTGGTTGTAAGAATATAAATATCATGTGCATTTTCCCACCGAAGGATTGTTGAAATATTGATTTATCCCTTCCTCTCATACTTTTTTGGCCATTGAATTCTCAAGTCGTTACTAATTTATCTGCTTAGAACTCACTTGAGCCACTTGTGGTTACAGGTATGATTGGCTGGCAAACAAGACTCTTCGAGCTGGATATTTCTTGTGGGCAATGTTTGCTTATGGGTTAGGTAAGAGATGGTAAAGAAATCATGTTGGTCCCCAAAACAAAAAGAACCATAGTTTTCTTGTAACAGTGACTGAAAAACATGGTATGTTTGTTGATAAATGAATACAGGAAAACTTCACAAAATTCCCTTCAATTATGTTGCCATTCCCATCATTTACCTGGTTTTACAAGTGACAGTTTTCTACTCCTTTCTAACCCTTGGCAGGTCTTCTCATTACATACGTGGCACTAAATTTGATGGATGGACATGGTCAACCAGCACTTCTTTACATTGTCCCTTTTACACTTGGTAATTTTTGTTACTACAAGCAATTTTGTTCGTTCTGTCTTTTTTTTTTTTATTGGTTGGGGGGGTGTGGTGGTGGTGGTGGTGTGGGGTGGTGGGCAATCCAGGTTGAGGAGTTGAAACTTGAAAGCCATGGTCCTGTTACTGTCAGCTGACAAGATTTTCACGCCCCTTGATACAGGAACCTTTTTGACCCTGGGAAGGAAGAGGGGTGATCTACGAATTCTCTGGACAAGAGGAGAACCGGAAAGACCCTGCCCCCATATCCAACTCGAACACCTACACGGTGAAGAGTTGAGCGAAGAAAAGTAAGGCCCCATTTTGGTAATTATATTGTACAGTTTGTGGTGTGTGGCTGATCACTGAAAACCTACTGTAGCAAGCTAGCATAAATCTTGATGCCCTTTGAAGCTAGACAGGGCATGTTATTAATTAAAAATTAGTATGTCTCATTCCACAGAGGAAAAACAGAAAGAGTAGTGTGCATTTGATAAGCTTCAAAGAATTGGTTCCGAAAACAATTTATATCTTTCAGTCCCACCACCTGCTTCATCTTGCTATAAGTATTTCCATCTGCAATTTTTAGATTGAGAAAAAGTGGAAGCTGGAAATGAAAAATAGTGGAATTTGAAGAGAATTAGACTTAAGAAATATAGATCTTTCTAAGTTTTCCTTTGCTTTCTCTTGTGGCTAAGATTAAATAAAATTAAGTAAAGAGGAGGAGGAATGGGATAAGCATGTATAGTACCAGGCTGGCCTGCTGCAATGCTGAAACTGGGTTCCTTGATTTATAAACTCTCATCCCTTAAATGCATTTTAGAGAAATTTTCTTCTTGATCTTCTGGAATTGGAATGAAGCTTGAAGGGATCAGAATCAGCGTTTTCTGAAATATTCCAGGGGAGTCAACATCAGCAAGAAAGAAACTTTTATTCTGTGGAAGCAAATATCATCAATGTCTTGAAAAGCATGAGGCCAGCTCAACTATAACATAGCACCAAAGTTTGAATTTCAAAGAGATGAGTTCCCAAAATGCTTAAAAATCAATGGTTGGTCCTTTTTTTTAACCTTCATGGAACAAGATTGCTTCAATAATGTGCACATGAACCTGAGCTGAAATCATTAAATGGAGGAGAAAACATATCAAAGCCAGAAACTTCAATTATCAAAATGCATATTCTCGTATCAGAATGCATCAGCCACATATTAATTGTCACCCTTAATCTTTATCAAAGAAAGAAGTACTATTAAAAGTGCCGTTTGTGGGGGGATTTTGCATGAGAAACAAAAAAAAAAAAAA